TTGTCAGGTGTGCCAGGATTATTATCATTACGTTAATTTCATTTTGCTTAATCATCTTGCATAGAATGTTAAACTAATTATGTGCTCTACTATAAGTGTAGGTCACGATTAGTTATCAGTACACCAATGTAATCTTTTCTGGTAATTGTTGAACAATCAGTTGAATACAAGCGTCATTTTTTCTTTTATTTTAACATTTCGATTGATGTTAATGTATCCCTATTTCAGGTTTACTGCTCGCCTACAGTGGTTATGATAGTATTGGAGGGAATGATGCAAATGCAACAGTATCTGCTGCTTTGATTTCCAATATTTGGGAAACTTTCGAGAGACAAGGTGAAACATTTTTTCATTTTTTTAATGAATTACAAATTTGCAACATAATTTTTGCTCGAAATGATCAATTTAAGATGGTTAAATAAATTAATTACTTTTATACTAATCGCTTGCTTTTTAATAATAATTTCTATTTTACTTGTGTTATGCTGTTCAATTTTATATATAGTGAATCTTTGAAATTTAACAATTTTTACTCTTGTTTGGTAGATCACCCCTAAATCTTCTCTCACAAATATGTGGTATAAGAGTTATATATTTGGGAGTGGTATTGTAGGATTAAATATGCAATTGAGAAACTGGTGTATTAAGCAGTGTATCTTATCTATTGAACTATTTTTCAGGAGTTCGAGAAAATTTGACGGAGATGCTAGTGGAATGCGAAAATGGGGTGATTGCCGTCACACGCATAGCCAATATGCTTCTGGCAATAAAAGCAGGGGGTGAAATGCCACTTGGTCTGCTTCGAGCGAAACTTCGTGCACTTGCCGACTATCTTTATACACCATTAACTATTGTTTCTTCCAAAGATTAGCATGAAATTTGCCCGCCGTTTTCATCTCCCTCATGATTAGAATTTTAAAATTACTGTTCGATTTTTTTCCTTTTGGGGTCCCTAAGTCAGGAAAGTTCCTGGAGCATGTTTGGAAGGATGAGATTCGTGATTGACAAGGAATTTTAATTTTAATTTAGTAATAAACGTATGACGTGAGATATTAGTAATCGTTAATTATTTCCTGTTTTAAATATCCTTCGTTCAGTCCAAAATTTGCAATTAATCCATGCAATTTGAGTATGGATTCCGGAAACAATGTAGTTGTAGTATACTTTTCATGGATGAGATTGAAATTATAAAATTAGTTCGATTATGTTATTATGTGTAATTTGAAAATATCGACAGATTGCATGATTTGTAGCATAATTATTCAGTTGAAAAAAATAATTCTTTCCCATTCCAAAATCATTAATAGCTGAAATGTCAGTTATAGAAATTCGCTAAAATCGTAGAAGAATCAATCAAACATGTGAAATAAAGAGAAAATTGCAACAACAATACGGGAATAATGATTTTATTCAATTAACATTCAATTCAATATATCAGTTTATCGTGTTATTATTGATAAAAGATTGATTTAAAAATCCATTATCAACATTTAATTTCAAAGCATTTTTATTGATAATCAATCAGTACTATGACAAAGTTGATTAATGAAAATTTGGAAGTTCACAAGGCGGTCGAAAAAATAGCGAATTAAGTAATAAATGTATGGTATCATATGGATCAATAAGTGTGCAAGCTTCTTGTGAATAAGATATCAAATTAATTGGTGCTCAGTTATTTTTGGTTTGTTTGGCATTTAATTATGTTTGAATCATTAAAGTTGTTTGAAAGAAAAAATTTGTTGAAAATTGTCCTCCAAGAAAAATGAAATTTAAACGAAAACATGGGACATATCGACCATTATTTCTAAATGTGCAATTTTCATTGAGCTGTACCACCACCGCCGCCTTGCTTCATTCGTGCCTGCGCTTCCTTGATATAAGGTTCCAGAATTCCCATATGATAGGCAACACCGAGACCAATTAAAATGAGCAGAAATAGAATAACAGCTGCACCCATATTGAATAGTTCGCCCTTTCTCGATTCGTTCTGTAATTAAGACTATCCTCCGGAATTTAAATGATTTCAACGAAATGAATGATGCCAACTTTAATCTTTTACTACTTACAGTTTTATTTTACTAACTCGCTCTTCCTTGTTTTCCACTTCCAAAAGTCAGTAGTCACCGGTGAGGCTCAGAGGAGGACTTATTCGACTGATCCAAATACCCTCTTGCTAAATGATCAAATGATACACTAATTCACTGAGATTACATATACTTATTTTATAAGTAAATAATTAGTAATTGTAAATTTGCATAATTTAATTATTTATACATTTCGTTTGAAAATGTTACAAATTTCCATTGATTTTATTCAAATTTTAAGTGCAAAAAATAAATTCAGGAATATTTTTCCACCATAATTTAAATATATGGCAAAAAGATTTAGCATTTGCATTTATCATTAAAGGATTGCTAAATTTCCTGGGAATAATTTAGAGCGCATGTTTATGATGATTCCTTTGCTTATGTGAAGAAAATATAAAATTTCTGTTCAACAATTTAGTAACCATTCTTGTCACTCCATCTAAGTTCATTTGCCAGATTCCGGAATATTGAAAGATGGATGAAATCAAAAATTTGGAATATTAGAGTGAAACTAATAGATATGCAGGAATCTATTAAATAATGTATGAAAAAACTAAAGATAAACTATTTCCATTTTCTTCTTTTCTTCATAATAGTGTACTATTTGTTTACGGTAATCTTTCCAGTCTCACGAAGAGTTAATTAAAGTTTCAATAAAAATAATGCTAAACAGATAATTCGTCAATTTCACATTAAGTCAAAAAAAAAAAAGCGGAGATTTTTTTGCTGTAGTTCTATCTAGCAATAACTACGATATTAATTCATTTGTTAATCCCTACATCGAGATATTTTGATGAATGATGAAACCGTCCAATAGAATTATCAAAGGATTACAAAATTGCTTGAGAATAACAAGTATTTTACGATTTATTTATTGATATAGAATTGATTGATTCTATATTGATCAATATTAATTAGAGAGCAAAAATTGCCTTAGCAAATTGAACAAATTGTTGTATTCAACTATTCACATGAAAGGAATGGTGGTCAATCAAAAAAAGACTGCTTAATTCGCTTTCGTTACAATTCAACCCTTGAATGCTTCTTACTTTAATGATGAAACAATGTTACTTTGATAACTGATAATGTGAGCTTAAACTTATAAATCCTATTTATAATGATATCAGCAATGTGATTGTTAGAAAGGACGATTGATCTCGTGATGGTTACAAAGGACGGTTGATCACAAATACTACGATATCCTAATCAGAATCCTGATGACCTATCAGCTAGCTCGGTAAGTTAGGATTTCAACACACACATTTTTCTTCACAATGAAGAAAAATTACCACCGTAAAAACTTTCAAGTAAATTGCGTGAAAGAAAAAGAAATTGTCATGATAAACATATATGCAGAGAGATTTGAAACTTCAATATGATCAACAACAAAATCCCAGAAATGATAAAGTCATCCGAAAAATTTAAAGAAATAGAAAAATCTCGTATTCCATCAGCGAATCATCGAATAAAATACAAGAGACATCACAAGTTTTTAAAACTGTTTCCCTATTTTTTAAGGAATTTATTCTAGTCTGGAAAGTGCGGCAGAATTTAATAGAGATTTCTTGATAAATTGTGCATTCAGATTCCATAACTTGTATCACATAACTTCATAATGGAATATAAATTGAGAGAATGTAAAATAAGACTATCTGTAGGAATCGAAATATTTCTGACAAAGTAGATGCACAACTTCAAGTGTCGCATGATTTTCTCAATTACTGTTGAAAAATTAGTCAAATTTACCTCGAAGAAATATTATCTGTGGGAAAGTTCTTCTTTTTCTTGAGAAGAATCCAGAACCTTCAAAGAGAATACTTTCTGCTGTTTATTTTCAACTTCTCTAGTTCATTTATTACCATAACAGTGATGTTTAATTATCAACTTACGGTCATAAGCATATATTTTTAATGTGCAAAAGAAACTAGTCAGCTAAAGGAATTTTTCAAGCAGATATATCAAAACATCCACAATTACATATACAAAGAAAAAAAAATATCACGAAATAGGCGAGGAAGGCAAAATAAATTACAATCGCAGAAAAGGAATACTAATTCACAAATATTCTTAGATATTTATCTTTATAAATAAAGAAATCTGCACAACAAGGATTAATTTAAGAAACATCATGCAAAGATATGAATTTCAATCAAAATCCTGGAATTCTTCCCTAGATATTTCTTTGAATCCTCTCTTAGAAAATCAATGAACTAAACTTTCTAAAGCTAATGAAAGAAAAAATACTTGAATATCTTTTATTTCCCTCTTTCTTTCAAGTGACAAGAAATAGCTGTCTAGCAAAATCAAATTCATTTCGATCATTTGATTAAGCGAGAGAGTGATATTTCCTGTAATATGAAATTCTTTTCACTATGAGTATGAAAAGAATAGCAAAAAATCAAAATTTAGAAATAGACGAGATCTACTACTAAGCTTGGAAAAATAAGTTATCATAGAAGAAAATTTGAACACAATATCAAAGTGGTGCCGTAGTAGCTCTCATTCAATTTCATTAAAATTTTGAATTTTGAAAAACTCCCGTCCCCACACGAATTTGAAAATATGATACGCCCAACAATTCTTTTTAAATCTAAAAAATTGTTCCAGAACATAATATGCTGAAATAAGAACAATCAAAGATCCCATGGAAATTAAAGTATTCAGATAAGCTTACAAGAATAAAAGATTATGAAGTGCCACTTATAGCACAGGAAAAGTGGAATGAGAACAGATGCCTTTTAGGCTCACTGTATTCACAGACGATAGCATACACTTATGAAATTATTGTAAAACTAGTGTACATCTTCCAAGTGTTTCACTTCCACGTTCTGAATTATAAAAATTGCCAGAGGAAACAAAGTTCTCGATTCTAAATAGAAATCAAAGAACTGTAAACGAATGTTTCGCCATAAACATGCTCTCATAATTTTCTTTTTTTGCTCGCTTAAAATCAAGGATTTACTTTTAATCTGAAACAAATCAAAAAGAAAGCGAGGAACAAAGTGAAAAGATAAGAAAATGGAAAACTATACAATCTGAATGATTATATTTCTAAAGCTGTTTTGCAGCTAGAATATACCGTTGAGAAGTAAAAATGTAAAAAATGTAGCATATATAAAACCTTAAAAATGCAACTTCCAAATAATTTTCAAAAAAGAGCAAATTAATATATCGGAATCAGGTTCCATCCAAACAAAACAAATTTTGCTCGAATCAAGCTTCATCCGCAGCGTCATTTGCTTCTGCCTTCGTAATTACTTCTTCAAATATTGCTGTCATATTTTCCAACTCTTTTTGCTATAAATAAATATGCATGTTTATTCAAAAAAGTGGAAGAAAAGAACGGCAAAACTTAAAAAGAGTAAAGTAAATATTGAAGAAAATAAATCAGCAAAAGGATTACGTGCACTGAATAAACGATAGTACTAAATTAGGTGTATTTCAATAAAATAGTCCTGAATTCCGGGATGAATGGATGATCCGTATTATTACAATCTAAGAATGGCTGATAAATTAACAACGATATCTACCCGAGAAGAAAAGTCTTTAGCCCCAAGAATCAATGAAGTATTCTTATAAATATATAATTATGTAAGGACCGCATAGAGCGATAGACATTCTGCTACTCACTTTTCGGTCTTCTGTGCTCTAGCCGTCATTCAATAAGATACTAAAACACTGACCGCAAGACCTCTCAGAGGCGTAAAAAATGTAAGAGTATTACTGCCAGAAACAACTTTTCTCATTTTTCAATTTTCCTCCCTATTCACGAACTCCCTCGGTTATTTACTAGAAAAATACATCAATGATTTTTAAATCACGATCAAATGCGGAAAAAATTTGGTCTGATAATCAGCTGATTTCTGTATATAATGCGCACTACAGCAGTGATAAAAACTCTATCAATTATCTCTTAAACTTCATTTCCACTTTCTCATCACATAATTTATTTCCTAATTTATGTCTTGTTTTAGTTCTTATATTTACTTCTCATGTATTTCTAGTCATAACTTACAATTCCTTGCGCTGCAAGTGAAATTATACTTGGTATATTAAAAAGGCAAAATCAAGAAAATTGAAAGAGCAATTTAAATGCGAGTATCAAATGTTTTCAAATCAAGTATAACGATGAACGAACGATTATGAATTATATAAATGAAAAATGTATTCGAATATATAAGTTGAATAATTAGAACGCGAACTAAACAGTGTCAGTGTCAATCGCTAGGAAAGTTCTGAATTGGAAAAAATCCCTTAACACATTTAATCCAAATTAGGTTAATATTAGTAATCAGAGACGAAAAAAAATATCCGTAATCAGGGACGAAAAAAAAATCCCTCTCACTCTCACATACTGTTCGGTTTAGAATAAGTTTAATTTTCACTTCTCATTTTAAATTTATTTCACTTGTTAATGTTTCCCCTTTCTGATTTACTGAGCAGCAAATAATTCTAATATAATACTCTATGCCAGTTTGGGATATATGGAAATCTATAACAACCTACAAATAAGGCTGGTTGATAAACAACAGATTCTATTTTTATAATTTGGTCCAAAAGTAAGTCCCTCTTACATCGTATTAATTGCACCTATTGTAACTTACTCTAGCTTCCAGACTCATAGTCAAACTGTCGATCTTTGATTCCTGATGTTTCACTTTCAAACGCAAACCAAGTGTATCTGCTTCATGCTGCTTTATTAGCCTCTCTATTTCGTTATTTGCGCTGTAAAATTATCCATTAGTAACATTCTTGGAATAGAGATCATAAAAATGTCATCTACATAATTGCAAAGCGGTAACTCATAGTAAAGCACCTAATGTACCAACATTTGACATTCATACAATAAATTTTTGCTGCTGTTGGAGCAACTATATGCCAGAGATAGTCTAGCATATGTTCTTTTTCAAATAAGTTTAAGAAAAACATCAGCCACTTAACTGTTCATTCCAATCCATCCTTGCCTAGAATATCAAACGAACCAAACAATCCTATATCACCTGATAAGTAAAGACAGGCAACTTTTTAAAATGCTTCAGTTACCTAATTTGAATAAGTGCATTAAAATTTAATGAGATAAAATCATTTTATGCTTTCACAATTAATTAATGCTCACAGATCCAGTTGTTCTTCGGCATTTCGTCGGAGCATTTCAAATTTTTCAACAAGAAGTGAATATCTCCTTGCCATTTCTTCAGATGCGCTTTTGACATTATCTTCATTCTGAAAACAGAAGTTTATAGTTCTCGAATAATAAAACATGAGGTGATATATTTGCTTACCATTATTCATTCCTCTGGAAAAATTCACAAGACATAGCGAAACAATCACATAAAAAGGATAGTCGATATCGCTGGCGACAAATCGTTATCAGAATATAAAAATGTACTCGTTTAATTTCAACGCTTGTTTGTCGCAATTTTTCATAACGCCTGAAGAGTTCACTGTAACTTGTTTCCAATGAATTAACTTCCTCTGCCAGTTGATCTCGTTCTTTAAGAAGCTGAGTAACATCATCCGGCGACAAATTCCTTTCGGGCCCTGGTCTACCCACTGATTTTAATTCACCTAAGCAATTTTTCCCTGCAATTTTAACATTCGAAAATTTGCAATATAAAAAGAAAATGTATTCGTTTGAGTAAAACACCATAAAGTTAAGGGTATCAACGAATCTTTTCGAGAATCAATGAATCATTGCTGGTTCATTTCTTAATTTCTAATGAAAAAATCTATATCAAAAGGAATTAGCAATATAAACCATTACAAAATGTAAACCAGCAGCAGTACACATCAACAAACAGAACCAAGCATAATGAATCATCCAAAAACTACCTCTCATGCTGGCTAAACACCAACTACTTTAATCCGTTCTCTTTTCTTTCCAGCCTAACAGTAATATGCAGCACTTTTCCTTAGAATGGCCGTATAATCATGTATTTCTACTATTACTCAACAACACACGCAGTTTTTGATGCGAGCTACGTCCCGTAATGTGCAATTGAAATTTTTTTGTAACCTTGATGATACTATTAACTGGATTCGTTTTGTTAAAAGTCAAAACGGTGTTACATACCAGTTTTACCTCTCTCTAAAGCTCTCATCCAGTGACTGAAAATGAATCAAAAGTTCTTACCATCACCATTTTTCTTCTTTAATTCTTCTACAAATTCTTGCATTAATTTCTCATATTCAGCCATAGCTAATAATCGTTCGGCAGCTTTCTGCTCCAATGGTTCGTTACGCCTTTGCTCATGTGCAAGCAGTTGACTTAACTGAAAAACAATTTTGTTAATACAGTTCATTAAATCAGTTTCCCCATGCAAAAAGAAATTGCTGGATTGCAATATTCATTAAGTTGTAATAACAGTGAAATGCAAGAAAAGATTTAGTAGCTATTAATTAAATAGATGATTTAGTGCCAATTTGTTTAACAAATTGATAATAGAATGTTTATTGCTAGTAATAAACAATAATAGTGTTCATTTGCTTAAGAATTAACGGCTAAAGGGTAATGTTCAATTGTCAGCTAGTCGGCATCTGAACGGCAGTGATTATGATCATTACTATTCATAAGCTGCACTGAATCACAACAGAAAATGAATTGAACGGACATATTTTATTTGAAAAGCCACACTCTCAAATAATATCGGTCCATCTATGATCGTAACGATTCATATGTGGTTCTTCGTAAGAGACCCGCCCATTCATGAACACCTTCATCCAATACCTCCATTAAAATCTTTTAACCTTTTCATTTTTAGCAGTCCATTCCTTCTCTCTTGTTGCAACAATCGCTTGCACACGTCGTACAAGTTCCGTAGCAGGATCGTCTGAGTTCATCTGCAATCAGTTCTTCCTCGTCTCACTTAAATCATGCCACAGATTTGGATCAGCACATTATAATTTAGTTCAAATAATCTAACATGTATAATTCTCATTAACATTTACTTGAACTAATATTGAATATTATTCGAACTTACAGAGGAAGATTTTGGATCACTTGGATTCACTTCGACTAAATCATAATGTTAGATCAATATGGAGATAGAATCTTTACGTATCCACTTCATCTCCAGTGCAAGGAAATATGACAAAAAAATATGACATAAATAAAAAGTGAACGCTTTCTTAATAAGAGAAGCATTCTAAACTAGAAATATCAACGTTTCTGCTTATGAAAAAAAATAACGCATCATTTCTTCAAGAAAAATTAAAATGAGTTTGTTTCAGAAACACAATACCTGCTTCACTTGATTGTATGCGGCCGTTATATCGAGACTTAGTTGGCTCTGGACCGTGACGGTTCGCTGCCGTACACGCTGTAATGATTTTCGTTCCTCTCTAAAAAAGCAAAAAATTAGTGTTAATTCAAGCTCTCCCAAAACCCTATCTATTTTCCAATAATTCAGAAAAAAATTTTACAAAACTTTTTATCTGTGCAGTAGAAATTATTTACCTTTGGGAATTTTCCGGATTAGGAGGACCCTGTGCAGCAACTGCAGCATTAGAAACGACGGTAGAATTTGTGTCAACAACTGGAAGAGAGGGAGTGATATTTGGTGGTACCACTACTGGCTGAGTTACACCCCTCATTAGAGCTGCTGTGGCTGTAGGTTGCTGTTGCTGCTCTAACTGAGGAGTGATTTTCGGTGCGGATGTTTGCTGCAGAACAAGCTTTGATGCCGCAACTCGCTGTTGCACTGACTTTGGTGGTAAAGCTTGTTGAATTATTTGTGGTTGTGATGCAATCGCCGATTGCTGTCCCAATATCTGAGGCGGTTGAGATGAATCACGACTTCGAGTTGCAGCTGGTGAAGGAAGCGGTTGACCTACAAAAATTTCAAAGGACTTCTGAAGGGTAATGTATTTTGACATTTTCATTAAAAATTAAAATTTTTTCAGAGAATTTGAATAAAACTGAATCGTTCAATCGCAAAGACCTCTTTTACAGAACATTTGAATTGAATTGAATTTTTCAATTGTAAAAACAAAAAAACAAGACTGTAATCAGTTTATGGTTATATAGTTAAATCGGCGGTTAGCAGCGGTTGCAAAGGAGCAAAAAAAGATGTCAGATAGTGCTAAAGTATCCTTATATTGAACTGAATTTGAATTAAAATAAGTAAAAACTCTTGGGCTCGAAATTTTATTTTCTGAAGTCATTAGCGGTATTCCGTTTTCAAAATGCAGCGATGTTACTACAATGCGGCAATAAATCAAATGCACTTAACATCTGAGGAATAATATACACTTTCAAAGCCTCAACTCGAATTAAAACAAAAAGCAAGAGACCTTACCGGTATTGGCAGCAAGCATATCTGCGGTTGTGGATCCTGACTCAGTTTTCGGAAACGGCGTGACAGCTGCTTCTGGTAACTGTTGAGCTCGCACTTTTGATGGACGTGTAATTGTCCTTGAATCTATGCTGTAGTAAAAATCCTAAGATGAGAAACTAGATATAATTCTGCATCATCCCCGGATATTTAAAGAAAAAAGTTTGTTAATAAATAAGATTTGAAAAGCAAAAAATATAATGAGAAAAGAATGCAAACAGCAACTCTATCAGTATCTTCAAAAATAAGTAACAGAAAAATAACCAATTGAACTAATCATTACTCTATCCACCTGATAAAAAGCTGATTAAAAGTGCTTTACAGAAAAAAAAGTTTATAAAAATAACTGAACTAATTCATAAAACTCCACGTGTTGAAATTCTAAAATCTTTAGGACATGATAGGCAGAAAGAAATATAACAAATTAATAATGCGTATGTCTTCGCATTAATGAGAAATATGGAACGAAATAAGAAGAGTTTGAGAAAGGGGTGTCAACTCCCATCAACCATGCAGCCATTATCAAATCGAGGAAAGGAGAATGAACTCAACATATGATGTAATTATCTATTCCAAAACACTGTATAAAACAGAATTATCGCATGCAACATATGATCTAAGTAGCATATTACGAAAAGTCTGATATTTAGGTGCAAGAGTAATTCCTAAGTTTTTTATTCAAATCCAGCTCGAAGAAACAGATATTGTGAAACGAAAGCAAGCGATGTACATAATGGTGATATAATCTTATGAGCTTGAAGTGTCCATATTCTTTGCAATCTTAAAACTAACTTTACTCTTCCTTTCAATTTTTATAACATATGCATTAATTTTGATATTACTGCACATATTTTGAAGTCACCATTATCTTAACCTTTGAATAGTCATACTATCTTTGATAGTATTCAAATTCGAAATTCGTTGCTGCCAAATTCCAATGCATACTTTATGCAATTGTCACTGAGATTTGAAATGAATATTTGTAATTTTTAAGAATATTTCATAAATGGCGTGATTGTTCATAAATATTTCATTAATGGCATTAATGGCGAAAATGGCATTTTTAAAATAATTACTGGATAGATCTGAAAAATCATTTGTGATTTTTAGAAGATTTATATATTCCCGTAGTTAATTTCCCAGCAAATCTTACATTCATTTCCTATTTTTTTCCCTTCCTCTATTAAAATATAAGGATCTAAAAAAAAATTCTCGAAACATCGAACAAGGTTTAAAAAGAATATAAGTAAAGCCACATATGCCGAGAAAGAAGAAGAGACTAACAAGCTTTTCATGCAAAGAGTGATACTATCGATAAACATTAGTCAATTCCACACAACACATAAGATGTCCCAAACAATGAGCATCATTCTCTTACTTGCCTCAGTGGAATTAATACCAACGTAATTACTATCTATCAGGGCCATAATCAATATTAGTGCTTGATAAAAATATGGAAGTCCTGGTAATTCGTAGCGAAACCCAGTACTTGTCATCTAAGATTTTCGGAACCAATCGTCCGTCATTTAGACTTCTGATTCAGATCTTCGTTCAGTGGTAAGAAAAAAAAACTTTTCTCAAGATATGGTTAATGTAATAAACAACATAGACCACTTAATAAAATCCCAAGAGCCCAGAAGGTAAGTTTTCTTTTTTAAAGTCGAATAATTTCTGCTGGATAATCCAAATACTTTTTCCTAATAATTCAAATATGACAACTTTCCTTCAAGAAAAATAGCGAGAAATAGCTGTAGAGAACATAGTTATCCATCTTGTCACTTAGAAATACCAAACATCGAAAAACAAACGTTATCGCTCAAACAGGTAAATATAGCTGAGTTTTGAGGAACAAAAAAGAGCGAAGTAGTTGGTACTGAGTTAAAAAAATACATGGCACAATGTCTGTCACTGATAAATTTAGCAAAAACCTCAATTAGAATACAAATGATGCATTGAATGTTTGGATTCTACTTTTAACATTCTTTAAAATAGTTTAATTCTGGTTAATCCACATTTCATCGTTGACATGATAATATATCTACGACAAATTCCTAACACCATTGATACCCTGCATTCTTATCTAAATATTTGAGGTGATTTTCTAGAAAAGATCCACTCTCGAGCACAGTTCTAAGTTGCCTTTTTTCAACGGTTACAAAAATTACTATAAGATTTCACTTCCATCTCTGCTGCGAAGTATTTCATGAATTTTTTGATTCTTCACAAAAGCCTAACTCGTGAGATCCCTGAACTCTGTCTCAAAACATTATAAGCACCATTAACAGCAGTGGTAAACAGACATTTGTTACACAAACCTGAATCCAACTTCAAATGAAAGTACTAAGTTGAGACCAAATGCTTGCATATATATAAATATAAACGGACACACTCACACTTTCAGACTTACAAATACCAATAAACATTTGTTTGGATATCTTATCCGATAAAATCAGAACTGTGAAGAGTATTTTTGTTGTCGTTTTATTATTCCTCTGCATAACTTGGAGATAAAAAACTCATTAATCCAATTTTATCAATATGTTTCCCACATTACTTACAAAAATCTGAACCAACCTAGGTGCTGGCCTACGGGGAGTTTCAAACTGCGTTGCAATTGGCTTAGATTCATCCACTTTATGTGATGTCCCCCCGAGAGAATTCTGTCTTTCTTCGAGAACTGCGTTCGATCCTACCTCTACCTCTATGCTTTCCACTTCATTTCCTGTCATCGACTTCACTCCAACCGTTCCGCTGGACTGCTGCTGTTCCTTTGAAACTATTCCATCTGAAAATTGAAAGAAAATTGGACTTTTAGGACATGAATTTGATGATGTCAGCAAAAAAAATTTCGAATTTTTATCAGAAATTTAAATCAATCAGCTTTTGCTAACTTCTCTAGAATTTCCAATAGCAGATTCCCGACTAGTCCTGCAATGTTTCAGTCAAACACGGGAAAGAAAATATATTTAGTAATCACTAAAGCAAGACCAAAAATGTTTCATCTTAATCCAGTGTCCTCTCACCACCAAACAGCAAGTGATCAAAGATACTGACCATAACTCCTCATCAAGTAAGCTGGTTATCGCGAATTTTGGAAACTTACCCTTAAATTGGCATATGTTATCAACATCTAGATAAAGACATTTCACTCTGACGAATACTGATAACTTCCTCCTCCTTATTAAGCACTTCATTTTACCCCGAAAAATATCTACATCAGTTTAATAGACAATACCAGAAAGTTACCCTTTCCTCGTTTAATATTATCCTACAATATGTCTAAATTGTACAAGTATCTCATGGTTATTAGCCATGTGAAAGGAAAGTTCAGATTTTGAGCAAATCTGAAATTTAAGATAAGACAGCTAACATGAATTCGTATGATAGCAATAGATCAGTTCAAATTTCAAAAAAAGAAAAAATTTGAGAATTACTTGATATAATTGATAGAGCATCAACTCCAACTTACATTCTTTTTTCTTTTTGCCAAATAATTTCATAACAGAAACTACAGTTGACCCAGTTAGTGGCATTTTCAGTCGTTCAATTCAATAAATATGATCGAACTTATACATAGATAGTAATGCAATGTTTAAATACACAACAATATTATAATTAATATGTGTCAATATACATATTTGAATAGATTGAGCATATACAGACGAAGAAACACAAAGCTGTGAGGAGCTAATATTACTTGGAAATTGGATATTAATTTTCCCATTATTCTTTAAGTACCTGTGATGAAGAGACCCGTAGTACGATTATACACCAGAAAGACATCTCTATACACGGAGTGGCGCAAACGAATAATTAAGCATCGGAAGGATTTTACAATTTAGAAAGATGCGGCATAAATCAACGGATGTTGATCATAAAAAATTATAAGTTTAATTGGAACTAAAATAAAACTTGAACAAACCATTATGGATTAATTTTCTCTGATATCAATTGAAACATCAAGCACTAACAACAAAAGATGGAAAATTAAAAATGTCTAAATAAGCTATCATAAAATGAAAAAGTAGAGAAAAAGTGAGTCAGAAAGTTTTATGGGAAAAGTAGTTCTAGACGAAAGTGGACCATAATCGACCACAATCGTGACACAGTTAGGAGTTACTATAACATGCAATCAAAGCAGGGAGTGGCGTTTTAAAGCCATTGATACTCCCGGCCTCCGCTCACCATATCATCATTTATTACAACCACTTTAGCAGAATTCATCTCAAACCACGTTATATCTAATTTTATCAGATAGCAAAAATTTTTCTTCTTTACATAATTATAATATTTTTTATTTCATAATGAAATAAATATGGTCGATGAAAGCAGGAAAAACACAAATATATAGACAGCGAAAAAATATAACAGTATCAATTTATCTAATATCTAGAAATAAACCGAGTGCATGTCATATTTGAAATAGAGAAAAATCCATACTATTACTCTCTGCAATGCTTTTTGCAAGTTTTTTCCAAATTTTCCAAAAGACTAGGAAATGCAAAATAGAAGCGAGTGTGGACCTGGGCAAGTCGTATAAGAAAATCTAAATACAAAGTAAAGTCGTTGTAAGTTGAATTAATCTTCTATTAGTGATTAGTCCGAAAAACAACTGCTTTATGTTGTTTCTAATATTTCTATTACGCTTTTGCTGTTATATCCCATTCCATCCTCCTGCTGCCTTAAAGTACACTAATCACTCTCTTTTTGCTTATTCATTCATATTGCCTCATACCAAAACAACTTAAGAAAAGTTACCAACAACTGCTTCAGTTTCCTCTTTCCACTGAGTAATCATCGGAAGATAAAAAAAAAGTTATCAAAGCTAATCCGTGATATTTGAAATTTAATTAAAAAAGGAAATCTGAATGTAGTCCCACCGAGTTATCTACACACTCCAGACGCTATGTGTGACATTCACATTCAAGACTTTAAATATTACTTTATATTTCTTTAGATATTACTGTATATCTCTGATGATTTTTCCTTTGCTAAGGTAGACTTCACATACTGCTAATTGAAAATATATTACGAACGGCCAATGACCTTGAAAAAACAGTATCCCTGCTCAATGTAAAAAAATTTCCTGAAGATTTTTTTCTTTGAAAATCCTGAAATCATAAACAATTTGATCATATATTCGAGGATCCATTTCAGAAAATATATTTAAAGATTCATTTCACAAGCAATTTGATCATATATTCGAAAACTCAACAGTGTGAAATTCAGTCCTGAATACTTTTCTCTGCATTTAGGATGAGTAACAATGCAGTAGATGAAAGAAGTGAAAAGAACAGAAAGGATGTAAAAAAATTCCTACAACATCTCTCACAAAACTGGATACATATTTGATGACTAAACTAACTATTCTTAAAAGTTGGTAATTGAAATTAAAAAATTGCGTATTATTACTTAAGCATCACCAGGATACCAAAACTCACTACCACACACGATCAAGACCAGCGTTCTTCAAAACTATCTCATAGCTGCAAGCAGATTTGACTCTTTTAGATTAACTTGGTGACTCTTTCTTTTGTAGTGATAACTGTTTTTAGCAAATAGAACTTTTTTACAGCAGTTGGTGGCCGAACGGATTTATTAACTAATATTACGTTTCTGGACTGACAAAAAGCTAGAGAAAGTTTTTATAGTGCTTTTCATATCAAGTAATTCGTCGGTACTTTTTGCCTACCAGCTAAAAAAGAGCCTTTCTTTTCCAAGCCTCTCAGACAATTCCAAAAGAAAACTTTTGTTAAGACGATTTACATCTCTTCTAAGGGATCCGCTGCATAGCTAGTACTAGATGCATACATGTAATAATTGACTAAAGCTTTACATCTTTAACCTAAATGGATGAAATTCAAATTTCAACCGTCTATAAATTTCGCTTAATTCACTCCCTCCTAAAATTTCCTATTTCTCTCCATTTTTTAAGTTCCTATTTCTGTCCATTTTTTTAAAATATAACATTCTATTGCATAATCCAGTGTCAAAGAGATTTACTTTAAAAAAGTGAAATTGAAAAAACCCACCTCCACTGTTATTCTTTTCCATAACATCAGATTCCACAAATTTTGGAACTTCTGGTGCTCCCGCTCCTGTGCCACGGGAAACCACCTGAAACATAAGCATAAATAATAGATTTGAATTTGCTAAACCTTGAACTCATATTAAAAGAATTCCAAATTGCAAATTCCAAAAAAGCCATGCAAAACTATCAATTTATCTTTAGCAACACAAATAACAAACGCATATATACCACTATTATTATTATAACTATCATCACGTTATTATCACCATTGAAATGTCAACCCCATTTATAGCAACAACTACAATAGTTGCCATATTTTAATTGTCATAATTAAAACCAATAACAGTAATCATGAAAGAAATCGGGATTATGTCATAGTTATACCACCAACAATAATAGTACCCCATCCTCAACCGCGGGCATTACTTTTTATCACTAAATTCGACTCTTTCACCCATCTTCAAATTCCCTCACCGTAGGAGAATGAATATGTTAAAACCTCTTCTCACTATAGTAACTAAATAATCGAAAAGTAATAGTACCAACCAGGTGTTGTTAGGAGATGGTGTGGGTGACAAAATTATGGTTGCAAGGTCATAGTATGTTGAGAAGATCATCATAACCCTCAGAAAATAAGTCTGCAAAAATCTTCAGTGAATTAAATATAATTCTGAGAATTTTCGGGATTAACCATGTTGCACATCTATAGGCCCAAAGTATTCCACTTCATTCATTTCTCGCACACTTATGCCTTTAAAGAAATTTTCTGCTTTTTGAAATTCATTTAAGCAGGTAGAATGAACAATCAAATGTTGTCATTATTTTATATATTTAGCACACATATATCTTTCGTGTTTGACTTTCACGAAAAATAGTTTTTTTTCAATTTAATCATTTATGGGATTTTAATTGGAAAAGAGAGGAAGTGAAGAAAATTGTTCCTTTGAAGTTGTCGTTTTTTTCTTTGTGCGATTCATCAATTCCCATGAATCAAAAAGGAGTAAAAATCCATATGTAATTTGTAGATTAGCCTAAATTTGTCATTTATGAATCGTTTGTATCGCATGCTCTCCCGATCACTACTGTATTACTATCAATCACTCTTCTCTTCCTTTTTAAGCTATCGTTTCTTTTCATCATTATTCACTGTTAACATATGTATTGAAGTGCGATCTTTTATAATGTTCATCAATCTCTGCTCTTTTTTCATCTAATTTAAACTTTTTTTCTCAACTTTCAATCACTTCTCTAATTATGATTATTCGAAACATTCACTAATATTCTCATATTATCACTGATATCCACATATTCAAAAGAAACTATTGATACTATTAGGAAAAAAGTATTCTCAAAAATCATTCCAATTCTCTTCCATTTATTCAAAAGTAAATTATGCTTCTTTTTTCCCAGCCACTACATTTTGAACAAATTTAGAAACAATCAATCTCACTGGAACTAACCTCAAAATTAAGCATGGCAAAGTTTGTGCTTGGAGTCAATGGTAGATTATCCAATAATTGAGGTACTGCTGCACAAGTTTGCGTCACTTGAGCTTCTGAAGTTTCAAGTGATGTCTGCGCTGGAACTGTTGAGGACATTTGCATCTTGGATGATGAGACTGATATTGGAAGTGATTGCTGTGTTTGAATTTGCTGCAGAAGTTGAGCTTCATTTGTAAATTCGGCGTTAATTGTAGAAGAGGCATTGGCTTTTGTAGGACCATTTTGTGTATTATTTTCTGAAACTAAAGCATTTGTATCCTCTATGAGGGATGGAGAAGTATCCACAACTTCTTCTTGAAATGTTGCACTTTTTGCAGTGATTTGTGTAGTTGCTGCTAGTGGTTCTGGTTCAATATTCTGCGAAGGAGTGTGAGTTGGTTCAGTTGAGAAAACCTGAACAGAGGAAGATTGGGTTAAAGTATCACTTGAGACAATTGCGCAAGATGATGAATCAGAAGTAGTTTCATCTGAAGCTTTGGACGAAATTTCATGAAAAAAAGGTTTAAATAATGCCTGTTCAAATGGAATTTCACAGGAAAGAAATTCAGAAGTGATTTTAGAAGCAGAATCAGATTCAGTTTGGTTGCTTGATTTAGAATGATTCTGACTCTGCATGCTTAGCATATCAGCTGCCTCATTCAGTTCAATTGTCCTGTTTGCAGAAATCTGTGGTAAGTTTCCTTCAGTTATGGTTGCTATTTCTGGAATTGTAATTTCCTGCAAAAAAAATTAAAAGGATAGATCTCTACTCTGTATAATTATATAATAAAATTAATTAACAAAAACTGTTTCTCTGTTTTGCTATGAAATGGAATGATAAATAAATATTTGTTGAAAATGGATTTATAATAGCAGTGTATTTTTCTTTTAAATTATATATTAAAAATTAGTGAATACCAAAAAGGCTAACCATTCCCTAATATACTGTGAATGCATAAATGCCCGTCCTATATGTTAGTCTCATATCACTATTCCATTTAGTCTACCTTTTGTTAATTCGTCAATGATCTTTTAATTTATGAAGAAAAAAGAGAAAGTATTGGAATAGATGAGATTAAAATAAATTACACAAACGATATAATCAATAAAGCAAAGAATAAATTAATTAAATAATGTCTCTTACTAAAAAATTAAATCAAGTAGTAATGTTTCAATTGCACTTGTTGACAGGTATTGGATAAAAAATTCAGAAAAAAAGGTGAAGAGTGGGAAATGTTTTTTCATGAAACGAACAATTGTTTTGCTCGTAAAGAAAAGGATTCATCATCTTTCTTCGAAAAATAAACTTACAGCATATCACGTTGTACAAACAAAGCTCAGAAGAAGAAACATTCCTGACTAAATTGTATTTTCTAAATTTGACAGGTAATTTTCCAACCGTAAATTGATCACACTCTAAATTCTCCTTGCATTACTCTCTATCTCACCTTTTTTTCTTCATTTTTATCTTCATAAGTATCACATCTATTCAATTGCAAAAATCACGATACTATGAGATATTTATTTTCACTAATATTTATTTTATCAATTAATAATTAAAAGTCAAAATAAAGTTTACATTTTCATGTGATGAATCAGTACTATTGGATTCATTGCCATCAATTGCTTTCATCGATATGAATTTAAATTGCTTTTCTTGCTGTTCCACTTGAGTTGATTTTCTCCGAGGTTTATCATTCATTTCTTCGTCACTTTCTTTTTGCAAACATTTGTTAAAAGTTAAGAAAAGAAATAGTAACAGTATGATATGTAAGTGTTTGGTACTTTTATACATATATATTCGAATATTAGGCGCAAATGTTTTCAGATAGAAATCCATTCCTACTCTTATAGGATAGAGTTATAGAAGTGAAATGGAAAAAGTGAAGTTAATCTTACCAGATGTAGAAGAACTGCCAGGTATAGTATATGTTTTATATATATATATATATATATATATATATACTCGAATATTAAGCGCAAATGTTTCAAGAGAGAAATCCATTCCTACTCTTATAGGATAGAGTTATAGAACTGAAATGAAAAAAAATGAAGTTTATCTTACCATATGTAGAAGAACTGCCAGATATCGTATATGTTTCTGTAGATGAATCTGAATGTGATGATGACATCGTATTTACAAATTGTTCTCAATGCCAATAACTAAAATTTGCAAAAATTGGAGAGTATCAATTTACACATGAAAACGTTTAAAAACACACACATACACAGTGATAAACAGGTTTGTAATAAAAGATAAAATAAATGAATTCAAATGCGTAAGTTGGCCTGAATTATAATTAATTAAATTAATTATTATAGGTTAATAAATTTTAGTTTGAATGAAATCAAATGTGATTGAGAGATAACAAAAAAGCAAGTCAAGAAATACACATTTACATAAGAAATTTTCTTACGCACTGCTTATTATAACTATGATGCAGAGAGGTGGTAACAGAATGGTAGATAGTTTGTTGTGTCGTTTATGAGAAGTTATAAAAATTAGAGCTACCCTTGTTTTTCTTTTTCTTTCCTATCTCTTTCTCATCCCATTTTTTCCAACGTTTTTCTATTGCTCTTATCCGATGCCTTCTTTTATTATTATTATTATTATTATTATTATTATTATTATTATTATTATTATTATTAGCAAATACATTAAACTTAATGACCCAAAATAGAATGCATAAAATTGGCATAAAAGAATAGTAAAAATTATGGATGAAAGTTGTGAATATTTAAAATGAAATTGAAAAATAAATTTCAACTAAATGAGATGAAGAATAAAATTCTAAAACTAATGAAAACATTAAAAAGTTTACTATTTATGTGCCTTTATAGGTTATTGACCTTAAAATTAGACCTTGAATTAGGACAAGCTTTCGTTGATTGTGTATTGATAACAAGATAGATAGATAAGAAACATCTTATGACTCAAATCTATCTACTTTTTATGCAAATGATCGTAAATGAATCTGCAAAAAAAGGTTATAAATGAGAAGCAAGGAATTTGGCGAAGATTATTTGAAACATATAGGCCCGGTAAGACTAGCTTTTGATTACATCTTAAATATCATCACACTAAAAACCTCAATGACATCTTTATACTATCAAGCTTTGAATAGCTCCTTCTATATTAGTCCAATAAACTTAGAGCAAATATCATTTCTTAATGACTTTATTCTGAATCGATCTTAAAATCACCTCTTATTATAAATAAACAATTAGATTTATAGTAACTTTTTATTTATACCTAATTACAATAATTGTCAAAATTAAAATCAAATTAAAACGGTTGCAAAAAAAATTAAAAACATTAACTGTAATAAGTTGAAAGTACTTCTTGCAATGATGTTGTAAATGATTTTATTTGGATAGTGTTATTGATTTAAATTTCTTAAAGAAAATAATAGGATAAACTAATGAAATATTCTCAATCTTAAATATTACAAGAAATGAAACATAACTTAAGTATGAGTGAGAAATATGTAAGTATTAGTTTAATTGGAAAATTATTAAATCGAAAAAAGATCAATACCGCATTCTTCTCATCTAACAATAATTCCTACGAAGATCATAGCAGAAAGGAGGAAATAAACCAAAACAATAACATACCGACTTTTATAAATCTAATAATGCCTAGAAATGAGATGATTTCTGTTAAAGCAAAAAAAAACAGGATGTTATAACCGGAAAACAACAATTGAAACCGGTTTTATTTTTGTGTAGAATTATTGTCAGATGAGAAGGATGTGGCATTAAGTTAAAAAGAAGATATGAAATTTAAAGTGGAAATGTTTGCTTTGCAGTTAGTTTCTCTGTGTAAACATACTTGTAATTAATGTATAGATACAGAAAATGAAATAGTTGAAAAATAAAGAAGAAAATAGTGAAAAGTAGGAGGAATAAACAGGCAGAAGTTTTTCTTCCTCCTTCACTTTCAATACTGTCAGTAATTCTTATTTTCAACTATTTTTTGGGTGTAAAGAAATCGATCAGATAGAATAGCTATAAATAGAAATTCAAAATAATTGTTGTTTTTTCAATTAAATTCTCAAATAAGTATAAGATTGTTCAAAAGAATTCATTTTATTAAACATTACGTTTTAATAGGTCAACGATATTATTTGGCTTATTGGAGAGGTCAACGGTAATATTATTTTGGCTATTTGGAGGGGACAACGGTAACGTTATTTTAGCTATTTGAAGGAATTAAAAGTTCAATTTCGTTATACATATCAAATAGTAAAAGTAAAGCTTTTTTTTTGTTCGCAATAAATGTATTTGTTTACACGTATGACGTGATTAACTTGATTGAGTTCAATCAAATGTAAAGTATCACGTAGCAATGTATCACGTATCACGTAGTATACCAAATGTGAGATTGAGTTTCAGCAATTTTATACAACAATTTATAAATAGTACTCTGATTTGTTGTGCCAATATACAAGAATTTGCGGATATCATATACCTCCTCATCTTATATAATCTTTGATGTTTTCAGTTAACTATAAAATTAAAATTAATTAGTAAATTAAAAATTATGAGAAAAAATAGTTACGAAACTATAAAATTAATTACTAAACTTTCCAAAATACATTTTAATTTGAAATATATAAAAACTTTTGACAATAAGATTTTATCGCAGTTTAATATCTGTTTTATTTACTCTCTCATATTTTGCAAAATGAAATCAGTAAATGATGGTAATGAGTAAATAAACAATAACCTTATAATGAACCTAATTGGCCTATGGTTATATTTTTATAACAACACAAGGGTAATAGTTTTAACATTTTGAATTTTGAAACTTTTTTTTCTAAATTTCACCGATCAGAAATAGAATACTTGCGTGATAACCAATCCTTGCGATACAAATCTAATTCTTCTCAAATTGCTACAATTAATTGTATTGTTGGTGTTGTTGAAATATCTATCACTTATTGTTTTATCAGTTTTATTTAAATCAGAAATTTTGGTTTTGAAATTGAAAAATTGAAGAACTGTCATAAGTTTCATGACATCTTTCTCCATATGCTTGTAACATTTCTTAGTTATCAAGAATTGAAATGGTTACTAATGTAAAAAGAACAAAACTTTGTTATTCATTAACTTGAAAAAAGAGATTTAACGTTGATGAATTGCAAGGAACGACTGACAGCTGTTATTGTGAGCCTGATCAGGAATGTTACAAGAATGATAACCTAAGATGATGTTCGATCTATAATCACATAAAAAAGACAATCAATTTCAAAGATTGGAAATGATAGTTACTGTCGGGATATGCAGTTCTAACCGTTGGTCCAAACAATCATATTAAAGAGGAATATTCATATGTCATCATATCATAGAATTATCATCATCTTTCACGACCTATTAGGTTAGTAGATATTTGAAGTTTCCGCTTTTTAGCATGAAGGATCTAACAATTAGTAAGATAAATCTTCTCCCTCATCCTTACTACTTTGTATTTGTACATGTGAAATTGATGTCGGCAAAACATGCCTTATATGTTTTCAATTTCATATTAATCTCTAAAAATGTTATAATCTTTCTAGCACTTTTTATTTTCTGGAAATCCTGAAAAAGGATTTCCTCATTTACTATCTGGTTTTTCCAAATCTGAATTCCCTATCACCCATCTATGAAGTTACTCCAAAATCTTTCAAATCTTTAATGCAAATTTAAAATTACATTAGGTTTTTTAACACCAGAAAATAGTTTCTTGAATGCTTATTGTGGATTTTTTTCTTTTTTAAATGAATGAAATGCTGGAAATACATTATAAATCAGATGGAGAGATATGAGGACTGATTACTCCGCACAAGCTCTGAAAGAAATACTGAAATTAAAAACCATCAATCAACAACTGTCGAAATAAAATCCAATAATAATCTAGACTTTGATGTGAATTTGCCAGCTATTTCATAGTTCTAATCAACTGTGATTTTTTTCGACTTATTTAAGACTTCAATAGCACCCTTTTAAGACCCGCAGAACTATGAATACACAAAGGCAATTTTTACTGCACTCATTGTATTAAAAATCCAATACAGTACAACTTTCTAAGAAAGACAATAAAATACAATGACTAATAATAAAATGTAATAATGACTAAAAATAATAAAACATAATAATCATTTAATAAAATACAATAATCATTTCATCTAATTATTTAAAAAGCGTGTAAAAATGGAAATACAGTGAAATAAAAATATATAAAAGTTGAAATAAAAGTACGTTTAAAAACTAAAAATTGGACTAAAGCACTAAACGAGCAAACCGTAAGCGAAATAGTTAACAAGCAGCCTACATAAGCAAATCATTACAACCTACTGATAGTCTACAGCAACCTGGAAAATAGATAATAGTTAACAAATTAATATATAAAAGCAGCAGCAGTACTAAAAGGAACGGGCAAAATTATTTTAAAAAGAAACAAAATTACAAGAAATGGACAAAGAAAATGAAATTTTGAACTTTAGACAGCGCGAGAAACTTCATAATGCCTAAATAAACATACTTCAATGCGTAAAAAGTTTGAACAGCATGAGGTAGAATATTTAAAAACTTGCAGAAAGACAGTTTCAATAATTAAAAAGCCAGAAGAAAATAATCTTTCATAATTATGTTATACTATTACTAATTACATTATGTTACTGATCTTTCACAACGACATTGGTAACAAAAATTATGAATTACATTACACTATATTATTCAGTAATGGCAGTTGTTTACAAAGGAAGAAAACAATTCGAAATTCTCTAAACTGAAATAGAATATTTGAGCCTGATCAAACTTTCAAACTCCAAAATGATGCAAAAATTGTAGCATAAGGTGGTTCAAAAATTATGGGCATATAGCCAAAATTACGACTGTACCAAAAAGAAATCTTTCAACAAAATTTTTGGAACTTACAGCTAAACCCTTAGCCGCGTGAAACTGTGTAAACTTAGCATAATGACTGAACAATATCTGCAACACGATAAATATAGCTCCGAAATTTAATTAAAAAATCCATTTTGAGGACAATTCTTCAAGCACAGTTGACAGTTTGAAGCTTAATGCTTGAGTCCAAACATGGTAGATGCTTTTTCACAAATCATTTCCGCAATAGCTAAACTACTTGTAGCACCTGGACTAGGCGCATTTCGCACATGCAATACACATTGGCTTAATTCGCCTTGACCACAATCAAAAACAAAGTCATCAACCAAATTACCGTCTGAGTCAATAGCCTGCGCTCGAACTCCAGCTGGGCCACTACAAATCATCACTGTACACAATGAATCAACATATTTTAATCAAGTAATTGACCGATTCGGTCAATTACTTGATTAAAATTAATTAGAGCAACAAACATGGACATATTACTAGTCGTGGCTGTACAGAACAGCATCGCAACCAAAATCGTCACGAGAAGAGCTATTTCCACAACAATTTAACAGAAAGTGATCTCAGCAAAAATGTATGGTATGACAATGTGAGATGCAGAAGTTATTTTTTCGTTTCTCGTAATAAAAAAAGATCGAAATAATTGCAAAATGGAGGTAACGATACTAATATATTGGAAAAACAACACCTATTTTCCAAAATCTTTACACTGAAGAACTTCAAATCTACAATATTGATAACTGAAAAAGCAAACGGAAAAAAAATCTCACCGTGCGATGTCCGATATTCTCAAATCAGGCATGAATCTCCGTAATTGTTTCACTTGTGCTCTGATCCAAATTCCACGATACAATTCTTTCATTCCATAACCAAAAAACTTGCGAATGAGTTTTCTCATACCTCTGTAAACACAATTTCAAGTTATTCGCACTTCAGCAAATATTTTATAAATGTTAGAACTTCTGACGTGCGCTAATGAAGGTAAGTGCTAATCTAATCACCTGTAACTTATAGCATCATACAAATCAGGTAATGAAATTTGAGAATATTTATATCCCTCTCTTTTGTACGCTAGAACTGCATTCGGTCCCAACCAAACATCTGAAAATATTTTGCCATTATATACGTTTTTCTATTGCTCATCACATGTGAATTGTAATAATAATTAAATGGTTAAGAAAAAAGTGGAAAGCAAATGCTCGATTATATCTGATATTAAATGTCCAAACAGTCGGAAACCCGAAAAACATAAAAACATAAAGAATTTGCTTATATCAATCAATATTTGGATTTTTTAAATATCAGGGAAGGAATGGAAAGCTTAGAGAGTTAAGAAAACAAAATGTCTAAATTTGAAATTATAAGTTTACGATGTTGCTGAATTTTCAGAGACAACTTGATCATATGCTGTTGGATGTCTATTAAGTTGACATTATGCCATGCTTCGCTTCTATATAACGAAATGCCTTTTAACAGATGAGATCAAAAGTTTGATAACGTTTTTTCAAAGTTTAGCTTAATGACAGATAATTTAAATACCAAACCTCCATTCATACGTGGCGTGAAATGGACACCAAGAAACGGGAGGCGTGGATCGGGCACCTGTAAATTCGGGCTAATTAAAAGTTCTAATGATTATTTAAGTCATAATAAATTTCTAAATGCATGAAAAATCGGATAGTAATTATAAATAGAATAACGAGCAAAATCTAACAAATCTAACAACTAAATTAACCAAAAAAAATTAATACTGCTGGCATTGTCTTGAACATGGTTAATGCTTGGATCTGAGTAGGAAACATGATCCTATTAGCAGAATAAATTATAAGCCTGAAATGAAAACTTACAGGATAAACATTTGTAGTTACAGCTTTCTTTTTCTCCTCCGAAGTTAGCAAGAGGTATTCGCCACGGAAAGGAACAATTTTTGGATCTGATGAACCACCCGAGAGTTTTGCAATACGATCTGATTGAAGTCCACAGCATGTTATCACGTATTTACAGCGAATTTTCGACTGTAATTTACCCACATAAGTAAAAAAAATGGAAACCTACCAAGTTTCAGAATAAAAGATAAACATTAAATCACTCAATTTTTGATTTTATCTATTAAAAGATATTTCATTATATACAGGCAAAATATGGCGAGTTTAGTAGATATTCAATGGTGTAGAATATGAATAAGTTGACTGTGAAAATCCAGTAACATTAATAATGATAAAAATCTGAGTACTTCTGAAGGCATTTACCTTTCAGTTTGCTACTATCGTCAAAAATATAAGCGTGAACTTATTTAACTTTTGACCTCATCTATTACGTGGGAAGGAATGAAAAAAAAAATTACCAAGTGCGGTTCTGATTCGATAATAACAGGATAATCGTTCGCGACGTTCTCCTTCCTCGATTCGCCAACAAGCAATAACGTTTTCAACGGATATTTCATATAAACAACTCCACCACGATTTTCGAAATCTTGTGCGTATGACCTTGTAACTAATCCCCAATCAATAATACCTGTATACGGAGACCACAGCGCTTTCAGACCCTGAACATACCATGTGATAAAACTGTTTTTGTGAAACACGAAAACGAATTTCTGTGAAACAGACATATCCTTATCAACAAGCATCTCTTACATCTAATGTTTTTTTAAACTTAGAGAAAAGTCTTCTTAAGGTCATTAAGTTTGCAAAGTCATCAGCATAGAATACCTTCAGCGATAGAAAGGCAGCATGATAGATCTTTTAGTGTTGCATGATAGATCGTTTAGTTACTGAAAGAAGCTTTCCGATGCTAGCTACCGACAGAAAAGAAGCTTCTGAGATTTAAAAATCAAACAAATGGTGGTCATAATAATAAGACCACGATACCTTAGATTTTGAGAGAGAAAGACGAGAGCACAAAACTCCAAATAATTTATCTGCTATATTGTAAGGACATGCGTTTTATTGCATAAAATATAAGAGTATATGAGGAAAACAGTTACATCAACGCTTAGATCTACTTTAGTTTTATAGTTCGAGCAGTAAAACACCAAAACGGTGTGGTAGACCACGCGAATCATGCCATCACAACAGTAAAAACTAAAAGATGTTATGCATTACCGTGCAAAAGGGTGCATAATTCTTGATTTCGCTGCCATCAATCATTTTTATTGATTTGCATCCATTTTTTTGAGCTCGTTCAAATAAATTCTAAAAGAATATTTATTAGATATAAGAAATGTGTGAGTTTTACATGTTCATTAGAAAGAAAATGTAGTACTTCAGATATATGAGTAAGAAATGAAGACAAAAGTGTAATAGTTTATCAGCAATAATTATTCCTCCTGGCTGAAACTAACATATCTAAGCTGATAATTCTCATTTTATTGTTCAATATATTCTCTCAATAATAGGAAACTTTCAGCAAAGAAAGATTGCACAAACTGAATTAAAAGGTCTCCGCTAAATTTTTTTATTAAGAACTCTGCCTTAATCATTTTTCATTTAATAGAAATAAAAGTAAAGAAGAAATCACAAAAGAATTAGACATTAAAAAAATATTAAAGAAAGCTTTACTTCCAAACGTTGTACTTCGACCGGCTCTACCGCAACAATGAGCTTTCCAATTCTTTTGTAAGGCACTTTATATTCATCACAGTATTCATATGCCAAATCAATACCTGCAGTTCCGGTGAGTTTTGAAATTTCAACGAATTATACAAACTCAGTTTGTAGGCAATAAAAAGTAGGACTAAGAAATATAAACGTTATAAATTCACATGGTTATACATAATTCCACACATTGATTTTACATATAGATATATTACATGTATAGATATGCTTAAAAAAATAAATCTGTACAATTTCTAAATGTCTCAATTAAACTTCATCTAAGTTATTGTTAAAATGAATGTATAGGCCGAAATGTCTGCATCAGGATACAGGTAAAAGCTTTTCGAATTTCAAAACAAGTTACCGAGAATTTATTACATGTGGGACTTGCTAACTTGAGATGATGGTAATCAGGAAGAAAACCTTACCGCGTACACAAAGTTTTGCTTTCAGGCTACCCGGCGCATAGTAGATTCCAGCGTGAAGGACACCGCTGTTGTGACCACTTTGGTGGAATGCTGCAAACAATTATCAAAAATATGTATGAAAAATTAAATTATATTCTACTTTCAACTAACGTTATCAACAAAGATGGCAAATTTGATATTACTTCTGTCTTATTAACTTAATTTCCTTATATTCTCAGTCATATCCCAAACTCAATATTTTCAGTTATCAATAATGAAATCTGCCATCCACCACCTATTTCGATCTTTTGATATTATTATATTTTTGAAATATTGAGAAACTGTTGTTGTATTACTACTTCGTAATACTTTTCTTCATAAAATACCAAATGTTGCCTGTTGCGTGTAACTTTTTTTCGAATAATGTTAAATGCAGGAACAAATCTCCTTTAGTAAATCAAATTTTTTAAACTGATATTCTCATGGACATCACGCATCAAACATTTTAAAATGATCACTCATGAAATTAGCAATATTATCTTTTGAATCACAGAAGGCAGAACTTCTTCCGGCAGTTGACGCTTACCGGACAGGATTTCCGCGCAGACTACTTACCCAGACGATCCTCCTTCTCTACCAATGCTACTTTCAAATCCGGATTTTTAATTTTTAACTGTCGTGCGGTAGCGCAACCAACAATTCCACCACCCACCACAGCGACATCGAACTCTGATGTTGTGCTGAAGAAACAAAGTTCGATCTTGACAAACAAACATGGCAAGAACTGAAAAATAAAGCTTCTTAAGTTTTTAGAAAATTCATCATTTCATTTAATCGACCATCTGAGCAGACTTCTGCTTATTATTTTGACCTTACTAACTTTCCAGCAATAATCGGAGCAATACTTTTGCTTCTGGAAAGGATGTTGGCCCGAAAATCGGACGATATCGTCAGTAAACGAAAAGCTGTGGCATTCATTTCAGATTTGAGCTAGTAATATTCTGGAAAAAAAAATGTAAGTTTAGACCAATAAAACAGGATGGATGTGACCATGTTCAACCAATCACTACATTTAATTCTTGACATACGCTCTTTTAAATCTCAGGTCATTTTCCAAATTTTAGCTTAGATAATTTCCTATCGAACTGGAAAATGTTTCAGGCTCATGTGCTAGCTCAATGAAAGTTTCTCCGCAAATTTTCGAAATAACATCGAAACTCTAAAAGATTTTTCCATTAACATATTTCTCATCAAATAAAGGTATATTTCGTTTTCTCTCATACACTACTCCTAAGATTTAATTACATTCATTATTTCTTCAAACGTGATACTTTCTACCTTTTTCCATTCTACCACCTTCAACTTCTACACAACCCTACCAAAAGTTCGACGGAAATGCCACATTTCGGTCCCCTCCATTGCAGAATAATACATTCCAAGATGTTCTCATAGTGATTGGGACGTTGTGAAAATTTCACTTAAATCTCAACTAAATCCATCCTGAAAATTAGAATGGATTTAATTCGACATTCTGTTGACTCTCTCTCTTACCTAAAATTAGCATTCGTAGTCTTAATGGTTTTTTAAGTTTGACTCTTTCTTAATTGCAAAATTTGACAATTTATTCTTTTGAGAGTATTTGTCCAAGCTTACAAAAAATTTAATTTTGAACAGAGCAATTGAGATCTGAAAAAGTTATCAAAATCGAGGTCTAAGTCAAATATGATGATAATATGATATGATAATATGATAATGTGTCATCAATATATTAATATGATATGATAATATGATAATGTATCATCAATATACTTGTGATTTTATAGAAAATGGTGAAATTTTTTTAATGATTGCTATTTCTGCTGCAAATATACAAAGATGCTGAAAAGAATACACGCTAATTTAGATATATGATTCAATAATCATCAATAAATCATCATCTAATTAATCATCAAAATAATCATCAAATTCAATAATCATCAATTTGACGATTTAGTTATGGAAAAAAGATCTTCTTTTAGATGCCAAAACCGATTGCTTTTTCTAGACATTCTTCTTTTCTGATCTATCATTTAATCCCAATTTTTGTTGAAAAATTCATAAGCCTGATCAATGCGATCAAACCACAATCCCTATAATCATCTGGCAATCATCTGGTTTTGATCACTTGATTTCCATTTTTATTCCATAGGTATATCGTTTAAATATATTTGCAGTTTCGGATTTCAGGAAATTTGTTTCACTACTCGATTCAACTGTCACTTTTTATCACAGTTAAACAAAACTTGTAAAAGTTGTCATCTGATTTTAATTAAATTAAAATTAGCATATGAACTTAGTTAAATTAGCATATGTAAAAAATGTAGCATATATAAAAAAACTTGTAAAAATAAAATGTTCGTTCAACTTGTAAAAGACTTCCCATAATATGCTTATTAATAATTTACCTTCATCTTGAATGTGACTTCTCATCTCATCCCATAGATTTCAAGAAATAATCAATATTGCAAATTGACAGTAATTAATTTCAAAACTTGAAAGTTCACATGCAAGAAATCCAGGAAATACTGCCTGCCATAGTGAATATCAGTTTTTTTGTATAGAAGCATTTTGTAGACTTTGATAATAAAGAAAATATCATAAGGTTAGATAATATCATAATATCATTACTATTATCTAATGCAAGTATTACAATATAGTTTTCAATTTAAGAAAATTGGCTATCAACGATAATCAATTAGTTTCAAGATGAATTATAGTGAACAAAATTATCATCACATTGCCTACTACCACAAAGCGTTTATTTACATTTTAATAGTGGCAGGAAGTGAACAAATAATTCTATCCCCTATGTAACTTAAGCATTCATTAAGGAAGTCGCAAATTACAGTAATTGATACAAATTCAGATAATAAAATAAGAATTAGCTTTTAAAGAAAATCTCAACTGTTTTCTTCCCTTTCTACCAACACATCACTTTAAAAAATGTATTTATCATTCGAACAGATCATCAAGGTAGCAAATTTTTCTCGTTGCAGCTTTACTTCTAGGGTTTTTATTCACGCTTCCTTAACTTGTGGCCTAGTAAATTTTTATTTTTTACTTTTTTTTGAATAACTTGTGGCCTAGTAAATCTTACTTTTTCCAAATCTCAGGGATCCAATTGTAAGCAATAGGTGGTAGTACATTTTGTTCTCTGAAATTGCCTTGAAAGTTGAAAAATCACTGAAAAGTTTTTCAAAAGATTTATCCGACCGAAGATAACCAACCACATTTGATAGCTATTCTTGTAGTGAATATAACATTCTCTGCGCACTAATACATTTTCCTGCACAATTTTTATTGTAGTTTGATTTCAACTATGCTAATTCTCCTTTGAGACAAAGGACATATCGGCACAAATGTAAAAAGCGTTAATGAGAGATGCTCTTATCAGTGTTATTTATTGACCGAAAAATTTGCATAATGTCAATAATAGGCTTCCGTTATTTCGAGATGTATGGTACAAAATGCTTCAAAAAGTAACCAATAAAACAATTTAATTTGAAAGAAAACAAAAAAATCGTCTTTTGAAAGAGTTAACGAAAAATGAAGCATGAAATATAATAAAAGCAATGATCACAAGTCAACAAGTCGGTCAATTCATATGACCTAACAAAATTGAGAAAATCAAAATGAAAATATTAAAAAGACTTATTTGCGAGAACAAAAATTAATTAATTTTCAACTCGTTTGTTACTTAAAAAAGCTTGGTGTCCTTTTTCAAATATCATTAAATATATATGCATAATATCACGCTTCAAAATCTTCAACTTATAAATTAACCAAAACAGCATCCAATTTACGACGGTGGGGGTGGGGGAGGAGCAGGTGGTGCTAACAAGCTTGAGAGATCCATTTTCGGTACCGGTGCTGGCGGTGGTGGCGGTGGTGGCATGAAACCAAGTCCGAGCGACATCGGTGGTGGTGGCGGTGGAACGGGCATAGGATATCGGCTCGTCGGCGGTGGTGGTACACCACCCCAACCACGACCCGCTGGTGAACCCCAAGCAGCAGCACTGGGCATATATGATGGTCGTGGTCGCGGTGTATTGAAAAAGTGAATACCTTCGGTTGATCCGGATATACCGCTGCTACCCAACGATGGTGCACCACCTTTTGAAGAATACCCCTCCACACCTTAAATAATCGCAGTGCTAATCGCTATTATATTATATTCACTTACAGCAAAAAAGACAATCTTTCTAAGCATTGGTAAAAGTGCTGCTATAAATATTCACAAAAAAATCGATTGGATTTGATGCCTTAAGTACTTCTCAAACACTTTACTGACAAATTTGTTAATATTGTTGAAAGGGCAGAAACTCATTGGTGACGAAGAGTACTAAAAGTTTCTCATAATGAATTCCATTCCCAGCATTCCTCAAACTAATTTCAGAAAAATGATATGGCGTGACATTATTGTTCTTAAGAAAAATTCTAGCACTATGAAAAAAAAGTACAAAATGCTGAAAAAATTGAAATATGAAGAGAAGCACAGCACCTCCAATTCCTATCATCCCGCATAATATGGAAGTAATAACACCGCATGGTACTTCCTCTTAATATATTCCTACCCTCTTAACCCATTTGAGTTAATATAGCGATTTATCCACACAATCCAAATTAAGCGAAAAAAATCAATTATATATATACATATATTTATATGTGAAAGTGTGATACCTTCCTGTCTCGCTAAATTGATTCGAACAATTGGTGTACCCGACGGTAGTGAATAATTCTTTGGCTGTAAATAATGATATCAGACCAGTAGCAGTTAGCAACAATTTCTTCACTGTGCATTTCATAATATCGCCTTCATTAGGTCATTTGTTCTTACATTTTAAGCACATGGAAAACCTTTATGGATAAAACATTAGTCAGTCCTGGGAGCGAAACACTTGATTTTTTTTAATATATGAAATTTCCCAAAAGGATTATCTCAGCATTCCACGCTACGCACTTTCTGTCAGATCGCAAATGAAAGCTGCAAAAGATAAAATAACACCTTTCTACACCTAAATATCTGAAACGCATAAGCAAAATAACGTTGCAATAATTCACCGGCTTAATAACAGCAGGGTAAATCATTTGCATATTTTCTTCCTTTACCTGATCAGAAACATGAATGTTTAATGCCTCATTGTCTTTTTGAGATTGCAACAAGCCTTGAGATTTGAAAAAATGCATAGAAACAAATGCAAAAGTTAGAAACCTTGTAACCAGACCCTGCATTTCCGGTTCCTAAGCCTGCTTTTCCTGGAGCACCGTATGGTTTCGATGCCGGTTTCTCTCCCAACTCAGCCATCAATGCTGTGTACTAAACAATTACAGTTAGGAGGTTAAAAAAATTAATAATGAGTCTGAAGACTGCAAAAAAGAAAATATGAAAAAAACGACCGTCTTGGTAAAAACGCACATAGAAAAAGATAAGAAATTAAACAAAGAACAAAGAAACCTCATCATCCATGCCACCATCTCCAATATTAAACACCCCGCTACCAGGCCGTGGATTTTTGCAGTCCTTCGCAATATGCCCCGCACCACCACACGCAGTACAAATAATATTTGCAGTAACATTTGGAGCATCCGGACATTCCCATCTGAAAATTATTTCGTGAAAATGTGGACAAAGTTAAATCTAACTTGGTTGTCGTCACAAATATTACCTCCACAGAGAAAATGAATCGGCTTGTTAAGAAATTTTGAAAATCCAGTGAAATCCTGCATTTAACGTGAAATCCTTTCAATGCAAATATTTATAATTAACACCCACGTTTTGTGTTCATCAGAACCGCAATTACTACATCGAGCACCGCTTGCCAAATCCTCAGGTCGTAGCGTACCATTCAAAAGTGCAAGCTCTCTCAGCTGCAGCTTACGCAATTCATTTTGACCATCAGGTATCATCAGTGCTTCATTTATAATTGATGTTATCTGGAAAAATGGGCTTAATCTTTTAAAAATCTATCTATATTTTAAAGTGATTGCAGCATAATAAATTACAGAAGCATTGTCCATACCGAAAATAATTAAGTTTTGGGATAATTTTTTTTTACAAAAAGGGGATAATTTTAAAACAGCATTCCCTCATAATAAAATAAACTGATGAAGAATAGAAAATATCGTAACAAAAAAGTCTGCTTCAAGAATACCAACGAAAAACAGTTTTTAAAATTTATGAAAAATATATTTTCGTGTTTTAAAAACAAAATTTTCAGAAAAAGAAATAATATTCATGTCGAACAATTAAAAACTTCTTACTTTTTCACAAGCCTTTTTTATAACCGTATAATCGGTGCCTGTCACGTAAGCATGAAGGGGCTCATTTTCACCAGGCATTGGCCCTTCACGACGTCCCAATTTTCCTTCCTTTACCGAGCCCTTACCACGAATTATAATTTTGGCGCCTGTCTAAAACATTTAAAAAGGAGTCCAAGATCACTTACGGAGCGCTTTTCCAGATTTTAAGGCATTTCCAGAAACATCAATCATGAAGCATTAACAAAGAGTCATAATAGACATTAATTGAACACAAAAAAATTATGCAGCAGATCAATTAAATTGAACAATATAATACTAAAAATATAACTGATATAATAAAAAACCTCTGCTTCAAGAGCTTTCAGAGTATTTCCGCGTGGACCAATCAATAATCCCACAAAATTAATTTCGGGATGATTTTCCTGTGGTATCCAAACTTTGTCATGCAACCGTATAGTTGGTGCTCTAAAAGACAAATTTTGAGGTAACTTTTCGTGTTATCACAAAAGCGTTAACTTCTTAGCTTATTGCACCGCATTATATATCATTTGATGTTACAATATCCCTGTCTGACCTAATGCTGAATCCCTCCTATGATTGCTTTCTCATTTGATATTACAATATCAAAATCATATATCTGACCTAATGGTAAATCCCTCCTATGATTATCTTCCTCCAGATAGTTTTGCTATTGGATCTGGCATCGATCATCCTCATTCATTCATAATGGAACAGATAAAAATTAAAATATTCCCTTTCCCTATTTTTACACTCATTCTATATTCCCTACATTTACATTTATCCTTGAATCTGAAAACTTGCACTGACTATGTAAAGTATGTAAACAAATCAAATGCGCACCTGTAATCCGCTGGTGGCTTGAAATTTGGATTTAATTTCAACAGTGCTTGAATTTTTTCGTGGCGCAATTGCTCCAATTCTTGTCTTTTTCGTATTTCACGGGTATTCAGGCGTTTACCACTGGCATCATAAATTGGTTCCGGTGAAGGACTTCTGCAAAACTGATATGATATAGGTTAATTGTAACTACAAATAATAAGCTGAAATTTTATTATTATTATTTTATTTGAACTGTTGAATTTCCCAGGCAGCATTTTTCCGCTCACGAAAAGCAGGCGCTAAAAGGCTAAAAAAGAGATTTGATTAGGATTAAGATTAGTAGTCTTTGCGGTGATGAGAGAATTCATCCTGAAAACAATTTTTTTAGATTTCAGGTATGTGGAGGCGACGGAGAGCGTATTCCAGCAGTTGGATTATTTACACAGTTAGCAAGAAATGTTTACCTAAATATACTTCTAATTCTATTCCTTTTTCGACTAAAAACAGACTAAAAATAAGCTCAAAAACAGACATTTTAGAACTGTCAACTTTCCTCCTTCAAGGAATTTCCGCGATAAGCTTACTTTAAAAAGTAGGAGCAGTAACTGTGATTTAAATTAGCAGAAATGACTAGTTTAGTAATCAACAATCAAAAGTCCTATAACTGGTGGGTGTTTCGAGCATGAAGTAACACTAATCACCGAAGAGCATGCTGCACTGAATGAACCGAAAGGTTTCAGTACCACAGTTGAACCTATTTAGCCAGTGGATGTGGAGCAATAAGGAACTTAAAATTCATTAAATTGAAAAACTTTGAATAAAACTTGTGGTACGCATCATCTTGATGAGTGACGCTGACAGATTCAGGTGTAACGCATGAAGGAAGGCATCCATCAACACCATAAATGTTCAGCTAGACTAGAAATGTTTGTTAAATTGTTGATTGTCAACAAAGCAGCAATAAACGTTATCGTTTATTGATTGATGAACCTTAAGGCTGGATCCGGATTGCCCATGAAATCGCCAAGACGTAATTTTCGCGTTGCATCTTCCACTTCCAATTGAACTGAAATAGGTGGTTACGGGGCCACCCCCCCCGTTTATTAGTTCACAACAAACATCAACAGTAGTTGCAACAACCGATCTTGTTCAAAATTTTAAATGAAATTGAAAGAATGTATAGAAATGAAAAAATAAAGCAATTGACGAATAATATTACGCTTTTGATGTACATGTGTTCGTCTCTAGTGGAATCTACGCCCCAGAGCACGACTCCAGTGCCCTGGAACGTGCATTGCAACATCCTAAGTAATGAAATAAGACTTAAACAAATCAAGTAATATCTGTTTTTATCATACCCGCAGCAACAATAAAATTCATAATAAATTAAAACAAAAAATTAAAAAAGTAAAAACATTACGAACCTGATTAATCGACATAATCCCTTGCATAACGAAATGTTTAAAGACTTTTAAAACCAATACAAATATAAAAAACAGCAATAAGAAATACGAATCCTTACGCAAATAAGCTTGTCGCTGATCATCACTGAGGTTGGACGGTAATATCGTTGGCATGCCCGGTACAAAAGATTTGTTAGTACTCCAACGCGATTTACGAGGCTTCTTTTCCTGTTGGCCTATTTCACTTGTATCACCTGCTCCGTCATCTTCAGTTTTCAGTTTGTCAACTATAAACATTTATGTTCAGAAAAAGGAAGATTTTTTGCAAATAATACTGTTTGGTAACTATGGTTTTTACTTACCAACTTCAGGACGTGCCAAAATTGGGAGTACACCTTGTGCAGTTTTTAATTTTGTAGAGCCAGTGGTGTTAGCCTGTAAAAAACAACATTTCTTAACAAGAAAATAGAGCACGCATTCCATTCAATAGCTTGTAAATAATGCAATAAAGCATTATAAGATCCTCAATGATCGATGTATTGAAAGGTTCACTCACAAATTATTAAAAAGCAATATACATATAAATCACCGAACATCAGAGTTACCATGTAGGAAAATAGAACATCATCAAATTTGTTCTTCGCTCAATCTTTAAAGCAAAAACCTGATACAAAATTACTATAAATAACTATTAAATATCTAGACGAAAGCTTACACTAATTTGATTTTCTTGACCTTCACTCCGTTCTTCAGATCCTTTCGATGGAGATCCTGTGCGACCTGAAATTAAATTTAAATTTCTATCATTAGACGTATCTTTACCTTACAGTGCTTAACATCTCACTCAGCTTACCTCTACGCCTTCTGTGTTTGCTTCTACTCCGACTTCGTCTACCGTGACTTCCACTCCGTCTACTTCGACTGCGACTTCGTCGACGACTGCGACTTTGACTTTTTCTGCTACGACTGCGGCTGCGTCTACTACGGCTACGCTTTCGTGAATGACGTCTATCACGGGAACGTGAACGGCGTTTACTGTGGTTCCGTGAGTGCGATCGCTTACGCTTATGTCGAGAACGAGATCGTGAACGGGAGGAACGCTGTTTTGGTGATAAATATTCCGGAACTGCTGGGGCATAGGATTCTAAAATTAATTTAAACTGTGTACTATACTAAAACAAGAAGTTCGAAACCCTGATGATTTACTGATTGAAACACAATTTTTATATAAAAGCAAAACATGCCGATTTTTAGCGGCAATAAAGTGCTGAAACAACTCAATAACAAAAGAAAATGACGTGATGATGAAAAAGCATGGAAAATATCCCAATATACACATCCGCACAAAAACGGTGCAGAGATTGTTTCGGCTTGAAATTCGAGCCTCATATTTTAGACAAAACTAAAGAACCTGAAACATTCCCGTTGTTGCCTTCTTCCGCATTCTCCATTGATTCAACAATCGGTTCACCAGCCGCAGCTGCAGCAACCGCTGCCGCACCAAATTTTCGTACAAACGGCATCGGTTCTGTGTTACCACCGGTTTTATCACGTGATCGTGACATACTCCTTCGTTTTTTTCTTTGACAACAGCAAAACTAAAATAATAACCATATATTATGGAAACATGATTTGGACCTCACTACGACTTATACCATTCTAATGCAAACATTTCTTACCATTCAAAAAAGGAATATATATTAACGTTAACACAATTTAGTTTAACTATAACATTTCACAGTGACACTGCTGAAATTACATCAGTTAATCTGCACTTAGTACCCCGTGTATCTTATGATCATTAGAAGCACATTACAAAAGGTATGACCAATTAAAGATTAGACCTTATAAAGACAGACAAACAAATTTTCTTTTATCTATTTATTTTGCCGTAACTTCTACGGCTATGTAACAGGAATAATAAATTGTTTATAATTTGCATAAATATGAACAACACAACGAAGACAATGCTTTAAGAGATCGGTATTATAAATTTTCCACATCTCCCACGCTACTTTTCATTTCCTTCAGCTCACCACATTCCACAATTGTCACCTGAAATGCTACAAAGTATATACAACATTGATTGGTTAATTTGTGATTAACCGCTAGAAAGTTCAACTTTTATCTACATAAAAGAAACCTTCTAGCGATTTATAAAAAGGATTATAATATATTGAAACGTGAAATGAGCATCAGCATCTTAAGCAATTCATTATTCGTTTAATGGAAATGGAACCTACTGGAAGGACTCTCAAAGTCTGCGTAATAACTCCATGATTTCTGTAAATTGTCAGAAATACAGTGATACAGGCATATAAAATAAACTTATAAATGTCGTGCTAAAGGGTTTAATACCATATAAATAGATTAAACAAAACTTTCTCCTAAAGAAAAAGACCTGTGACTAAAGAACAGTAACTACTACAGATGGTTATTTTATAATCAATTGCAAGAATCAACACACCTGCATCATAGGCTTCCCACTTTTACTGCCCTGTTGCTCAATCTGTTTGACAATATTCATCCCTTCAACAACATGCCCAAAAACAACATGCTTATTATCCAGCCAATCCGTTTTTTCAGAGCAGATAAAAAACTGCGAACCATTCGTATCGGGTCCACAGTTTGCCATTGAAACAACGCCAGCCATAGTGTGCTTTAACTGAAATTTTCGAGAATCAAATCAATTCAGTGTTGTATTCCAAAGAAATCAATAGCATGTCTTACAAAAGACAGCATGTCTTGCACCAAATCAAAATTTCAAATTTTGAACCTTGAAGTTTTCATCCGCAAACTTAGAACCATATATTGATTTTCCGCCTGTTCCATCTCCCTTCGTGAAATCCCCTGCTTGTATCATAAAACGAGGAATTATCCTATGAAAATGTGAGCCTAAAAAGACATGTAATCTTGATGCTGGGAAAATTATGAGTGTGAAGCGTTAAACGGTGCAACAAGTTAGAGAGCAATGGAAAGTCAATTTCTGTACCGATTAGGCACTCAAAAGTATAACTAACTAGCAAAGAAAAGCAGAAAGTGCATAAGTAAAGTTGAATGGAAGAGTATAAAAATACCTTCGTAACCGAAACCCTTTTCTCCCGTACAGAGTTGCCGAAAATTTTCTGCTGTTTTTGGGACTACATCAAATCGCAATTCGATTACTATTCTTCCTATATACCTGCAGAAATTTACACAAAGTTGCAAAAACAACAAATGGAAAGCCGAGCAAATATTCAGATATAATTGAAATGAATACTTCCTGACGTAACGGAGGGCAAATATAATTAATTAATATGGTTACGCTTTCTAAAATTTAATCATGCCAACTGTTAAATAATTATTCTACTAAACCAATCAGTGGTTCCCTCGATGGTGACAAACGTATGATTGAATACCCAGAGTATACAGTTTCCAGAACTTATCCCTTGCATGCATGATCAAACACAGAAGTTTGATTTGTATGGCTAATACATTGTAAATATTCCGAATAACAAAATGCTCAATAACAATTCATGTAAAGTCTTACATATAACATCGCCTTAAATTATAAAAGCGTTTGAAATTACCTGATTCCAATTCTGATTCCCAGGTATACCCGTGGAAGCGATAGCTTAACCGGTCCTACTGCTGGCTCTTCAGAAACTGTATCGATGTTTTGATCAGATTCTCTCGATGTGCCCTCTCCAGTACCATACTAAATTTCCGTTATATAATTGTTATAAGCTTCAAATTTCTATAACTAGATTTAAATCACTGAAAATAATAGGAAATATGACAATTAATAGAGAAGTAGCTACTTTTTTCATGTAGCAGAAAAACTCATGCTTCGGAATTCGTACCAAAATGATTTAAAAAGTTGTAAAATATCAAGCAAAATTTTTAAATTTTTTTGTTAAAATCATTCTTATAGAATAAGAAAAGTACATGTGAAATGAACAACGAATAACACATAAACGATAAAAAAATACACGAAGAAGAGTGTAGAAGTTATGTAGCATAAGCACACCACTAAGGACATATTACAACATCCAAATGACATAATAATTTTATCATAGCTTTTCCTTCTATTTCTATTATTACCAGTTGGATTCACACCAAAAATCTAGCACTCATATGATCCTGCATATATCTTTGAGAAATCCACCTTCTATCAATACCTTGCAACCAAGAATAGTATTTTCATCAACTACAATAGAGCCACATAAATTAGGTGGAGTTTCATCATCAACTGCTGTGAGACTACCAACTGCTACTCCCTTACCAATAAAATTTGGAAATACTGAAGTTCCTTTGAAACTTAAGTCACTTTCAAGTGCATGACCTACAGCTTCAAGCGACAACACCTAGCGAACCTGAATTCAGAATAACTGCATCTCTCCAGCTGAAGTTGGAATTGCTTCAAGATTTACTAATGCTTGTTTTAGTGCTTGATTTGCAACTTATTTCCACTTTTTTTCAAAAACAAACTTACTGTAAAAATCTCTTCATGTTCAGCAAAACTTTTTTTTTTCTCAATACCAGTGCATTTGAAACTTACAGTTTTAAGCCATTCGTCATCTGCCCATACTGGCCTTTGGCTTCTTTCATTTGCCTTTGGCGGTCGAGCAAAATGGCATCGAATTGTTCGCCCGAACAATTCCGAATCATTCATATTATCTATTGCTGCGGCAGCATCATCCGCCAGTTCATATTCCACGAATCTAAAAGCTTCAGAAATATTTAACACCTAATATATAGCTGTTTAAACTATTTGTTTCATTCGATCATAGCGCGAATGATCATATACTGAATCAATTAAAGCTTGCTGACATGAAAAAGAAATAGGCAGAATTGCACATAGATTTTTGAGAAATACCAGTGCATCTGGTATCTCAGTCTTTTCGAAGGTATCTAACGCTGCAATTTAAATCATTTTTAAGAAGCTAAGTTTGATTTAATTTCTGCGGTAGCTTTTGTTTTCAGCTCCGAGCAGCAGCATCCTTGTTGACGAGAAAAAAAACAAACCCAAACCCACGATGCTTGCCCGTTTCATAATCCAATGGGACGGATACGCTAACAATTTCGCCGAAGGGTACAAAGCCAGCTTGCAATACTTTCTCATTAACCTCCTCGCCAAAACCACCAACATACAGTGTTCGCTTCTTATTATGTGGAAAATTAGTCGACAAAGACATCGATAATTATCTAAAATAACATTAAATTTGGGGAAATACGACACACTTTTATGAAATTAGCAAGTGCTGGCGCAAATTATATAATTTGAAATTTCATCTAAGTAAGCATGCACACAATGAAAAATGTCAAATTCTACATAATTAAATAAGACATAATGTAAAATTATGCAAATAATTCCATGTTTCTAAAGGCTGTAAGATACTTTCCAAATACAAAATTAACAATAATGGAAAAAATTTAGCATCAGTTTATGCTAAAATAGTGCTGTGACAAAAAGTACGATTAGTAAATGTAATTTAGCACAAACTATTCACATCATTTTAAAGCCAAAAGAAAGTACAAAACATACAAATCCTTTCCGCTTCCTTTCCCCGCCAATTTCAACATACACAACCTCAAGTAAAATTCGATTGCCAACAAAAGCAGAGAAACATACCAGTGGTTGACCTCATACAAATTACTAAACAAATTACTAACTCGAACTAAGTAAGTTCGAGTTCGAGACTAATATAGTAAAATTGATGTAGTAAGTACACACATCACACACCCGCAACAACCAACCCCACAACTGACTCGCACACCGTTGAATAAAGGGGAATGAATGGGATTGATTTGAGCGAAGTTTCAGCTTAATAGTAAACGTCGTCCGTTCGGTCTATTCGATGTTTACTTATTTGGACTTCATCGTTTTGAGAAATATTGAATGGTCTTTGATCACATTGATGTTTGTTTCGTTACGAACTTAGATCCGTTAATTATTGCAAGAGTGCACAGTGATTGACTTCTTTAAAATCATCCGTTATGGGCTGTACATTAAGACGAAATTCCATTTAATTTTGATTTTCTGTCAAACTATAGAAATGGAGGGAGCTGTTAATTATTATTGAAGTTAATGCTTTTTTTTTCAGGTAATGGTAGCTAGAGGAATTATAAAGTATAATTCTTTTCAAAATAACAATTAAAAGTCGAATTAGGAAGTTGGAAATGAATGAAGATCAAAAACAAAGGAAGAGGGGATGCTGATGTTGCATTGCGGTTGTAATTGTTGATAACGGTAAAATACTGAAGAGAATTAATACATATTCTCGCGTTGTTCTCTGTTAACTCCTGTTAACAATATTTCTCTCTTAAAAGATTATGATGAGAAAAATGCTTCCTGAACTTTACAGAGTGATTGGTTGAATCCAGTGCCTATTAGTCATTAGTCCTTCACCATTTACGGATTAGGAAAAAATTCGTTTTCATAATGGTTGTTGCTTCTTGAGGCGTCGTCACCTTCGTCTACTACCACATTTAAATCTTCAGCTCAGCTGTTTTAATGATCTCAACGCTTTTCATGTTATTTGTTATGGGTTACTTAGTAATTTTATTTCCTCAGTGCTAGCATTATGGGGATTCCCGGTCATTCAGTATCGTGTTTCAGTCGTAGATGAATACCGCACGTATCCACACTTGTTAAGGAGAAGAGCTTGGATGTTTTGAATTGTTTTAATAAATATGCATTAACTGACTGTAACCGACCAGGGCAAAAGAACCATTTTAATTAAATTATTAAACTAAGAATTTTTTTGAAGTTTCAGTTTTCAAGAAAAGAAAGTTCTCACAATTAAAGTAGAAGTAGATTGTAATTGTTGTCCTAATAAGTTATAAATTATGATGTTCCGAAGTTTGAATCTTTTATTCGTATAAACGACATCAAAAAGAAGGAAATGTGTGATGAAAGATGAGGAAATGATAGCATTTAAAAGATTTAGGTTAAGATTTATGATATGGATTCTTTGTATATTATTGCCCATAAAAGTAAAGATTTTTTATGTCTTTTAGTCATACCGTTATTTTAGAAATCTTTCATGTATTTGCAGTGCATATATATA